GGGGCCATGCTTTCCGGGGTTCCTCCAGTCTCAATCAGACCATTAAGTCTGGTCTTCTTATTAGAATTTGAGTTCTGCACCCGACCCTTCTGCTGCTCCATCAGGGACTCTCTATCGTGTTCCCTGTCGGGGCGGTCATTGGTGGTAGCCAGGCACCATCTAGTTCTTCTGGTCTCAGGCTGATGAAGTCTTTGGTTTATGCGGCCCACTGACCATGCTTTTAATCTGTGTGCTATAGGGAGGAACCATGCCCAGACTCACTGCGTTCTCTCCCCCTCTGCCTCAGAATCCTGTCTGACTCCCACCTAAGGTCTTATCTTCCTCATCTGACTCTTAACTTTCTTTTCCTGACATGAGGTGCATGTTATAGATACTAAATGACGTACTTGAATTGACCTGTGGAACTGGTTCCACTGTGGCTATAAAGTTATCTCTTGTGCGTATTAGGTAGGTACAGCAGGGGGAAGAAGGGAACAGGATCCCGGAAGATGATGGGTTCTTGAGGGTTGCTTAATTTGCTGGTGCTCTGACAGGCATAGGGTCCCTTGTTATTCCAGGGAGCTCCAGTACCTTAGAAGTGCTGATATTTAGGTGGAGAAAAAAAAAGAAATATTAACCTTCCAAATTTGGCTGGCTATATTTCAGAAGAGTATTTTGATATACTTCATTGTAATCTGTGAAAAGGAACAGTTGAGAACCACCCTAGAACATGTCTCATAGTGATACTGTAAATATGATGGAAAGTTAACAACCCAATTTGTCACTATTTCTCCTTACTTTGGTTGTATTGCTGGTCTTCATGAAAAGAAAATATTTTTAAATTTTGAAATGTTTTAGTCTCGGAAAGCAAATTGGGAAAAGCCAATAGGGATAATGGAATAAAGATAAATGAGTTAATGCAAATAAATTGGTTTGACAGGATGAAACTTGAAGAAAAACTTACCAAATTATCGGTTGCTTACTAAAAAAAAAATACCAAAAATGTTAGTAATGAACTAGAAGTTTGCTGAAAATATCAGTAAGTTTAGTCCTTTTATTTAAAGAAGATTGAGAAAATTAAATGAAATGATATGATATATAAAATTAATAGGCTTCATTTTAAAGAGCAGTATTACTCAGAATCAAACACTCTCTAAAATGGTAAATAAAACTGTAACAGGCAGAAGAGATGAAGACAAAGTAGTTATATCTTGTTAGCATTCTAATAGTTGGAGGATGTATTAAAAGGAGGACCTCTTTCAAATGAGACTCAAAAATAGCTGACACTTCACAGGAAGTTCCCCTAAATGATTTCTCTGCAATGTACAAATAACGGTATTTGGTTACCAAATGTTCAATTACTAATACTTATTTAGTACCTAGATGGCTGATTTCCTCTTTTAATGACTCTTAGAAGCATAGACTTAGATGTAAGCCCTGCATAGTATAAAGTTAGAGGGAAAGAACTTCAGGAGTCCCAGCCTTGTTCTCATGCTATGTAATAAAGCAGACAAAAAAAGAAAAGTATAGAAAATGAAATGGAATAGCTAGGCATAAGGGGAATACCTTCTGTCTTAGTCATCTACTGCTGCTCTAACAGAAATACCACAAGTGGATGGCTTCAACAAACAGAAATCCATTCTCTCACAGTCCAGTAGGCTACAAGTCCAAATTCAGGGCGTCAACTCCAGGGGAACACTTTCTCCGTCGGCTCTGGAGGAAAGTCCATGTCATCTGTCTTCCTTTGGTCTGGGAGCTTCTCTGCGCAGGAACCTCAGGTCCAAAGGACGTGCTCTGCTCCTGGCACTGCTTTCTTGGTGGTATGAGGTTCCCGTGTGTCTCTGCTCGCTTCTTTCTTTTATATCTCAAAAGAGATTGCATTAAGACCTATCTAATCTTGTCAACCTCATCAGTATAACTCATCACAGTGATAGAATTTACAACACATAAGGAGATCACATAGAATCTCATCATAGTGACAGAGTTTACAACACATAAGGAAATCACATCAGGTTACACAATCATACAACACTGGGAATCATGACCCAGCTAAGCTGACAGATATTTTTGGGGGACACAACTCAATCCATGACATCTTCCAAAGAGGATTTGTACCTTTAAAGAGGATTTGTACCTTTCTTGGATGTTGTTGACACCAGTTTTGGTTATAAGAGTTTCATAGCGATACATGCTTTATCTAGAGCGCTTGAATAGGGCCAGTGCCAGTTGGTTGTGCTTATTTTAGAAAGACAACTGCTTGCTCTCTCAAAATAGTAGTAGAGTTTCTTTGATATGTAAATATAAGATAAGCAACATGTCTCTTTAATCTGAAAATGACATCCTCGAGTATTATTCTCCTCATTTTGCTTAGCTTTAGGTAATTCTAGGGCTGGAAGAAACTTTAGCAACTACCAGATCCACTGTTTAATTTTCAGAAGAGGAAACTGAGGCCCCAGAAGGGAGGAGGTTTGCCCAGGATCCCACAGCTATTTGATGGCACAGTCAGATCTCCTACCTACCAGTCCCATACTTCTCCCATCACTCTGCTTCCCTTCGACTGAGCTTATGTGGTGTCAGCTGTTGAATACTCTTGAACTATGATTCTCAGTCTGCTTCCTTAGGCCCAGCACAGAGACAGACTCTTGAATTAAGGAATAGGTTAGCTGAGAAGAGAAATTCAAGCACAAGCCTCTTTGGGGTTTTTGCATAGAATAAACTGTGCTAGAGGACATATGGGATTTCTTTAGTATTCGTATTTTTCCATAATGCCAAACCTAGATCAGAAAGCAAGCAGCCTCTTTGTTCTGTGATAAACAATTTAGCTGATCCAATATTTGTCTGCACCACAAAACCACCATTCCCCTTAGAGTCACCTCTTCTTTTACACACACACCCCTCTCTCACACTCACACACACTCACCCAACCCTGGCTGTCCTGGCCTCTGCATGTCAGAGAACATGCATCTTTTCAACATCTTGAAAAAGCTGGCCTCTTTTCCCTACAAGAAGTGGTTGTCCCAGGTGGTAGCAATTTGTTTGCCTGAAAGTATTGAAGGGAGGGAGAGGTAACCAGCACTGCCTGAGCCAGGCCAGTATTTCGTTGTTTAAACTTGAACCAGCCCTCTCTCTTCTCCAGTCTAGCTGTGTAATAGTTTTCCTTCTTTAAATCCTTTGTGTAAGCTGCTTGAAGTGCTTTGGTAATGCTATACAAACAGAGCTGATTGTTGATAATGACAATACTGTACACGTTCTATGGGAATGATTTGGATATGTTTGATTTAATGGGCTGTTTGTATTGTATATTTCCTGCATTGTGAAACTTACATATAGTTGTAGAATCTTAAAAGTGAATAAATATTAAAAAAAATATGAATAAAATACTTTTCAAAATGTTGCACAATGACATTAGCGGTTCTTAGAGTGTAGATGCTCTCGGGCTTCTGAGCAAGCTTTTCCTGTTACTGATAGGTATGTGCGTTTATATTCAAATGCTAAGAAAGGTCAGAGATAAAGAGGATTAAAGTCACACAAAGTACAAAAGGCTGAAGGAAGATCCTTTCTTTTGATGAGGGAGAGAAAGAACACCCAGGACTCTGGGAGAATGGGGAGGGGAAGAAAGAAAAGCAGATAAATGTCCATCAGTAGGGAGTAAAAAAGGTCACAGGAAACAATGTAAAAGAAAAACTTGGCCCAGGTCCACTTGTTAATAAAAGGTATTGATTTTGAGAGTTTCAGTGAATTTGGGTTTAAAAGCCAGTTGCTATGATTTATTCATCCAGTCATCAAGCTTTTCTTGAGTGCCTGTTCTGTGCCAGGACCTGTAATGGACACTGAGGACCCAGCAATACAAGTCATGGTACCTGTCCACAAGGAGCCATGTCTAGCTGGGGAGACAGCCAAGGGAAAGACAATCATAGTGCACTGTGATGTGAGAAGACTTCAGTTAGCTCTGAAAAAGCCCTGG